GTATTTTGGTGTGTTTTTCTTCGTTTTAGCAATTAGCCTTGCTTAGCATGTGTACACTGCTTACATTTAGCTACGTGACTTTAACACATGTCCAAATGTTCCCTTAACACGTGCTAATTACAAAAATCAATGTTCTCCAAGGCACAAGCTTATAAAGCACATTCAGCGTGTTTTTGAGTCATTCATTCATTTGTTTCCGTCTAAACACTTGTAAACAAGTTATGTATATGGAGAAAAATATATCTAGGAAAGGTCTGAGGTGAGAGCACCTGTCACATTTCTGCACAGATCATGGGGACTCCACATATGTACATGTGTTTGTTCATATTAAAATTGGATCAGCTTATCAGATATCGGTAAAAAGTGAATATTGAACATCCCTAATAAAAAGAAATCCAAGATACTGTAGAGAAATAGAGTGATGCAACTATCTAGAGTTGTATTTTAATATTCTGTAAGTAGATCACTTGTTATAATCAGAAGATGGGCTGTTTTTATCATCAGGGAGTTTAATTAAACACTCTGTATTGACTTTGAGACAAGAAAGAGAGAGAGTTGGGATCGTTTAAGAATCTTTAATTTCTTAATTATAAATTCTTAACAATCTACTAGGACTAACTCTGTGATGGATGAAAATGGATTTGGATGTTGTGTTGGTGCGTGTGTGTGTGTTTTGTTCAGGATCTTTAGGCTGACGTCATTGAATCTGTTAGTCTGATTGTTATGACTAGATATCACGAGGCTTATAAAGTGATGACATGACATGCTATTTTGCCGTGTACGTACCCAGTGGGGGGTCTCCCAGGTAGATCAGGAAATGCCAGGTCTGAAGACCTCGGATGTGCGCTGGAGCTGGTTGAAACAGCGATCGCAGCGTTTCAAAGCCCGTCTGAAGGGTCGACCCAGGTAACAATCGGCAGCGTCAGCAGGTGCTCTTATTTTGAAAGGATGTCGTCTGGTTGTTAAACGACAAAAATCTCCAACTTTACAGTTCTTAGTTTAAAGAAGAAAACACATCTGGCCAGGATGTGCTTCTCTTTGGGATGACGGTGACTAGAACTGAAGTCAAAATGGAACTGAGCTTAAAATGGCGTTGCCTTGTTTTATATCTCTGAATTGTTGATAAGTTTTAGTAAAACGGATTGGACACTTTAAGTCAACAAGCCAGATTCTCTTGCGGCAGCCGAAAGTTCTGATTGGTTGGAACAATGTGTCATGCGTTTCTATGGAGATGAGGGTCAGTCTGTCTGTGCAGTAGTCCTGTTTTCATTAAACACATAAATCATGACATCTTTATTCCACAGATCATTCACTTGATTATTATTGATCAACATATGTTTCGAATAGCTTTAATCACAAATTAAGTACTTTGATTATTGAAAAGCGTTCTTCTTCTCCTTCTGGCTCTTCTCCTGGAATGTAAACAGTCTGAGGAACACCCGACCTTGGTGTTTTCTACACGGGTGTTACTGTGTACAGGGGCAGCTGTGTGGAGCTGAAAATTATGAAGTTCATAACGTTACAATACTGATAATGCCAGTCAGCAGTGTTAGAACTCTGATAAAAACGTGGATATCTAAGGGTTCTGTTGAAACCAAACCACAGCCAGATGGACCAACAAAAATCAACTTGCAGAAAAATTGTTTGCAATACAAAGAAAACCCCCAAACAACTTCTGTTCACATTCAGGACTCCCTCAAATATAGCGTGGCTATTTCAAGAAGCAAAATAAAGAAGCAGTTGAAGAAAAATTGGCTACAAGGCTGAGCTTCCAGAAGAAATCCATCACTGTGCAAATGCCACAAAGCATCTCGCTTACAAAATGCCAAACAGCACAGAAACGAGCTTCAACATTTCTGGAAACAAATCTTCTGGAGTCATGAGACCAAAATTGAACATTTTGGCCACAAACGTCTTGTTTGGAGAGAAGTCAACCAGGGGCGGCGTTAGGCCCGGCTACTTGGGCTCAAGCCCCGAATGTTTTATGAAAAGACTGGGTGTGTGTGTGTGTGTGTGTGTGTGTGTGTGTGTGTGTGTGTGTGTGTGTGTGTGTGTGTGTGTGTGTGTGTGTGTGTGTGTGTGTGTGTGTGTGTGTGTGTGTGTGTGTGTGTGTGTGTGTGTGTGTGTGTGTACGTGCGTTAAGCCCCGGATCTTCTTCAGTCCTAAATGCACCCCTGGAGTCAACAAGGCCTATGGTGGAGTGTACCATTCCTACAGAGAAACTCGGAGGTGGTTTGCTGATGTTTTGGGGATGTGTGAGTTACCAAGGTACCGGAAACCTCGTCAAACTTGATGGCAAGATGAATGCAGCAGCTTATCAATAAAATACTGTAAGAGAATTTGTGCTCATCAGTTCCAAAACTGCATGAGTCGGACTTTGATGTTCCAACAAGACAATGATCCAAAACACAATCCAAGTGGACTTGCCACTGGCTCTAGCTGAACAAAATAAAGGTTCTGGAGTGACCATATTAGTATCCTGACCTCAGTATCATGGAACCACTGCATGGAAAGCCCCAGACATGCTGTTTATAACACACAGTCCATGACTTTACAGGAATTAGAGTCTTTATGCCAATAAGAATGGGCTGCTTCACCATTAGATTATGTACAGAACCTTCTCCACAACTACCACAATACTCCAAGATGTCATGATGCTAAACTGGGGTGTGTTAACTTTTTGTCAGGGTTATGTTGGTATTTTATTTTCTTATGATTAGAAATGAGTTCACACATATTATTTCACAGTAAATGGCTTCCCATCACTGACCATTAGTGCAAAACAGGTTTTTGTGTTTTCTTTAATATTCTTTGAAAAATGGCAAATATGTATATATATATATATATATATATATATATATATATATATATATATATATATATATATATATATATATATATATATATATAATAATCCACCGGTGTGTGTAAACTTATTCACACCCCTGCAGTTTAGAGACACGGGCCCAATCCCATAACTCGCCCTTGCACCCTCGCACCCTTCAATTGCACGTTCCCAGCCAAGCGTGCGAGTGCGCAGGGTGTCCTGATTCCCAAGTGCAGAAGTTGACCACGCCCCCATCGCACCCTTAATCTGCACTTCACACAAGTCCGCAGCAATGCGGACCTCGGGCAAGGGTCCACAAGTCATTGCTGCAGGAGAAAAGGCTCAAGTTCCTTTTCTGAAAATAAGTATTTTCTAATGAAATTAGTTAATTTTAGGATGATTAGTTGATGCTCTAAAACTTTTAGATAAAGCAGCAATAAATGTAAATTGATTTCAAATAACTGTTTAGCTGTTTGTTTAAAAGTTATTAATGAAGGTTTTTGAAAAAGGTATCACAGCGACCAGCATCTGGCAGGCGTTGCGATCGATGATGCAATGTCCCCTGCCTCAATTCTGCAATTATTTGCACACTTGTGTACTACGCACTCAAAGCCTTACAGCACACTTTCTCCAAGTGCACTTTGCTGAAGTCTGCAGGGTGCAGTGCGAGTATTGAGATTGGGCCACGGTCTCCAGATCTCTGCTCATAATGCTGCCTCTAATGACGAAAGGATGGAAGATTTTTATGAAATTGTAGGGAAATCATCATATGATGAATACCTACAATAGATTCACTTTAAGGTTGAATTTAAGGTGGCCATCACCACTGATCCACCTTAGAAAACACAAACGTGACTCAGAATTCAGCAGTCCAGAGACATCATCACATACTCCAAGTGCAAGCTGGTTGAGCATCAGGTGTTGCCTAATATTGAACATAATTTACAATATTTGATCTCAGCTTTGAAAAATCCTGCATTTTATATCAATATTTGATCTTAATTGAAATGTGTGATGTAAAAATGTGTCAGAATGGTAATTCTTCAAGACCACAGAGACTTGTTGAGCATCCTGTAATGTGATTGGTTATAAAATTTAAATGTCTGTACAAATCAATTCTCCAAACTATTTTTAGTTTTTCTGGTCCCAGGTGCAGAATGTGAAAGCATGTGTGCTCTTCAGCGATTCATAGTGAGTGAATTTGTAGACACCACAAAACTTCAAGTGAACAAAATTTTATTTCAATGGATAATCAGTATTTCCAAACAAAAGGAACGGGCAAAAAAGAAACTCAAAGAAACGTTGTGAGTTTATTTACCAACAGACCACTTCCTCAGCTCCCTGACGACGTTTCCAATACTGATACTTGACGCTGATAACGAGATGTCATGTTGGCGACACAAACTTGTTTCCAACAAGAGGACAAAGTGGGCAAAATTAAAGTTTTTCTACACTAAGACACAAACCAACAGGAATAATCCTGCAACACAGAATGAAGGTTTCAGAGGTTAGTGATACATTACTCTAGACGCTCAAATGGCATGAGTTTAGGGGTTTCCCTACACAACAATATCACCAGGAAGTGGAAAAGAACTCGCATGGCGTCCAAAAGTGCTGCAGATGTTAACACATTAAACATCAGCATCATGTGAGCCTATTTCCACTCCTGACAGGACATAATACCTGTTATAACAGGTAACGAGAGATTATGGCACAGTCATAAGATAAATGCTCAGTGACAAATCTTTGTTCTAAGGCAAGTACAGCTAACTTTGTAAAATGCCCCCCACCCTCCCCACCTTTTCCCACCCCCACCTAAAAACTAAAAGGTCCAATATTGACAATCGTTACACAAAGACAGTAAAGACGACATTGAGCTGAGTGAGTTCCTCCTGTGAGAGAGTCACGAGGGAAGTTCTGACCAGCTTTTTGAATGGTTCGTCGTGTTATTTAATTACTTTTAAACAAATGAGGTAAGGGTAGAGATCTTCTACCAGTGCTGTGAAGTTACAGGAGTGAATAAGTGAAGGGTCTGACTACATTACAATGCAAGTGCCTAAGCTTTTTGTTTTCATATATATATATATATATATATATATATATATATATATATATATACATATATATATACATATATATATATATATATATATATATATATATATATATATATATATATATATATATATACATACTGTATATTATAAACTCCTACTCTCCACCTGAGTCTCCAAACAAGTAAAATTATAGACAAACCAAAAAGATTTCATCAACACTGTCACATAAACTCCAAATAATATGCTTTTGTCAGCTTTGGCATGGGTTGCTGATAAGTGTAGAAATAGCTGGGTTTGTCTTTATGTTCTTGTGCTGGTACTGATGTGTGTTTGTCCATCTACCCACCCGTTGAACCTGAGCTTTATTTAATGAACCCCAAAATGCCTTAGAGTCAATGATATCCTGTACATATGGACACAATCATGATTTTTCGCTCCATATAAACAGTGCTACTACTAACACACAATACAATGTGTCCTCTGCAGAAGACATTTTGGCATTTGTCTTCTTTTAATGGCTTCTGGTTTTTAAAATTAGTAGATATACACCTGGGCGTTGTGCTCTTGGCTGTAGAGTCCATCTGGCAAGCCCCCTTGCTCAGTTTTTTTTATGCCATGCTTGTTCTCTCTGAGTGCGGGCATAGCACCAGCAATCAGCTGAATGTTTTCTGTTTGCACAGTTTTGAGACGGACGTCTGAAGTGAGTCCAACAGACCTGCTGGTGAACTGTACTTGAACTGATTCTACCAACCTGTCCAGCTCATGCCACATCTCAAATGTAGACAGCTCAGGGACTTCACGGGGCCACCAAGGCTTCGTATCGGCAATGAAGAACAGTTGGCTGTGTAACTAGGAGGGTTTCGGGAATTCATAGTGGAATGGTGAGGGAGATGCTTCTTCTGGGGAAGCTGAAAAGGTGAGACTGTAGAAAACGAAGAGAAGGAAAGGGAGCTCCACTTCACGGTCCGTTCTCATTGTAGTGGAGGGCGAGGGGCCGCTCCCGCTGTACGGTGGGCATGTAGGGCCAGTTGTAGCTGGAGCCTGAGAGCAACATGTCGCGGAGCAATGTCTCAATGGGTGTCTTGCCCACCAGGCGAACGAAAAACAGCTGCTCGATGACAGGAGAGGAGACGATACGCAGAGAGGGCAGGCGAAGGAGCAGGCGTCCGAACCGGTTGGGCTGGCTGGGATACTGGTTCCTGACGTATTCCTCGAGAGCACACTGGGACTTCTCCTGAATGCTCTCTACGTGGGCTACATCTGACAACCCCATAGCATCTACAAACACACACAAAAAAAGAAAACACAGTTTTTGACTTGGAGAAGAAAATCAGAAGAGCAGCAAATAGAGCTATTGAGCCATTTTTAAGAGTCCTTCTTTAAGAAACACAAATATTTGTTATTCTACCTATTGGAGATTATTTATGGAACAACCTTCTTTAGGACCAATGAGCTAATTTCATAGGGGATGTATGCCCGCACAAAGGGGGGCACATGGCAGTTGGGCGATTTTACCAAAACACAACTTTTGTGCTGCCATGGTGGCGTTTCAGGCACAGGTTGTAATGAGAACGCGTATTTTGCCATTTGTTCTGAATTTGTTTTCTTCTAGTGTTACGACTATTGTGATTTACATGAAGCGATCGACCAGCACATATTGTGCACCCCTGAAGGAACTTCAAGGCTCAATTACCACTTTCTTAACAAGTGAACAACCCTGTTTTGCTTCCATATGTTCTTTAAAGTGATGGTGTGTATTTTCCCTAGCAATACGGGGCAGTACATACCTAAATCATTGCAAGCAAGTGGTGTTTTTGTGTTCAAGGTTTTACCAACGGATGGTCATTAGGGTCAAAAATCCCAGGGAGCACAACCTCCAGCAAAACAACAAGCACATCAGACTCCCTTTCATCACTGGCAACGAGTGAAGATGTAAATGTGTAAAACAACGTTTATGAATGGTGAAAGTTTTGTAACCGCTTGTTACAAATCATTAAATGTGTTTTGTCCTCACGGGCTCCCATAGAAGGAAACATGGCATCACCCCGAGACTTAGAAGAAGAAGAAAAAGAAAAAAGAAAAAAGAAGAAGAAGAAGAAAAAGAAAAAGAAAAAGAAGAAAAAGAAAAAGAAGAAGAAGAAGAAAAAGAAGAAAAAGAAAAAGAAAAAGAAGAAGAAAAAGAAAAAGAATAAGAAGAAGAAAAAGAAGAAAAAGAAAAAGAAAAAGAAGAAAAAGAAAAATAAAAAGAAGAAAAAGAAAAAGAAAAAGAAGAAAAAGAAAAAGAAAAAGAAAAAGAAGAAGAAGAAGAAGGAGAAGGAGAAGAAGAAGAAGTTATCATTTCTATAGCGCCTCTCAAGATAAAAATCACGAGGCGCTTCACAAAAACAAAAAATGTAAAAAATAAAAAAGCTTAGACCCGCTCCTATGCATTTTAGACCCGATTTTTATGATTATATGTTACAAAGCAACTGGGCGTCGTTTAATTCAACTTCCACAAAATGTATATTTCCAGAAATTTCCAAAATGGATATTTCCAGAGATTAACAGTAAAAACCACACATCGTCTCTTTAAAGATAGTTTTTGCTCTTATTGTTGCGCAAAATTTGTGACTGCTGAAAACACAAACACGGCTCCCGACGCAGGGGAACCTAAATAATCTGTCTGAAATCACTACACTGGCACGGTACCTGTAGAGTTTAACTTCAGTTGTAGGTAAAGGTATTATATTGTGGCTTTTGCATTATGTCAGCTCAAGTTTATTTTAAGTCCCAACAGAGTGGCCTGCCAGTCTGAACTTGCAAGTAGAATATTCTGCCACAGAGGGCGATAAGGACTGGGTGGCCTTTTATTAACTCTGTAAAGGGTCATTTTAGTACATGCTGGCTCAAGAAAACAATTTAAAAATTATGAAAAAGTTGCAAAGTATCCTTTTATATATCCCCAAACATGCAGCTGAGAGTGAGAGGCTAGTTATTACAGAGCAGCATTAGGGCCATTTTGGAGAAAGGGACAACTATTATAACTGCAAAAGGAAAACTTAATATCTGACTAGTAATGGTACAGATCAGTAAAACAAACAGAAAATAAGTAAATAAATGGCTCCTATATACTTTCTTAAATTTCATCTCCTCACATTCCTGGAAGGAAGCATTCAGGACTAAAGGAGGGCAACGGCTGAATCATATACTGGAATCAAAGCCTTTCCTCACTGAGAATGTGGCCTAAACTTGGCAAACGGAGGTGGTCAGCGCACAAATGCACATCTCCAGCATCTCCAGCATCATGCACCTTTTCCCCTCATCTGTGGCTCGTGTTCAGCTCTCCACCCCTCACCTCAGCCAGAGTCTCACACAACCCAGAAAGTGTGTAACACAGTGTGACTTTATTTCACACCCTCTGCATGAAGAGCAGAGCAGAGGGATTCAGTAAAGGAGGTCAAAAATGTGTTAAGTCTAAACAAAGACACCTTTTACTGTACTCCGCTGCCGACTGTACTCTGCCCCCTGAGTGAACCCACATTGGGAGACAGGTACTCGATGAGGGCTCGTTTTTCTTCCCTCCAGCTTTCTGTTTGAAAGTGCCAGCTGTGAGTTTTAACCCCGTCACCTTGCATCACAGGTCTGCTTCGTCATCACACTGTCCCCTGTGTGGATCTCAGATCCACTCTGCACAATATTTAATTTACTTCATGTTTTGATGAAGCATGTCGATCCCTCCCCACCCACAGCGGGCTCCATTCTCATCACTCTGTGAGAATAATTGCTCCCACTTTGGGTATATTTCCCTCCACACGGGGGAGGACGGTGGACGCCGTTACTGTCAGACTGCCGTTTCAGGTCCTGCGTGACAAAACGGTGACTGCCTGGTTGGCATTAGCGGAGCTGTCTGCACGACTGAGACCACTTCGCGTGTTGAAGCGACAGCTCTGTGGGCGTCCTTCCACGCCAAGCACCACTGTGTTCTTTTGTCTGATCCCTGGGCAAGCAACGGGATCAGAGGGGGCGATGAGGAGGGACCGGCGTGGCAGGAGTGAGATGTACTCTCTAATGTGGCTTGATGGGCCTTGGCTTCACAGGGGGGAGTGGAGGGAGTGGACCCAAAGGGAGGAGAGGGAATATTGGTGATTGTCCAAGCTCGTTAGGTCATCTCAGGAGGCGGGATTACTACAGGTGCATGTGCACGTACATGCATCCTGCTATTGCATTCACATTTTCAACTCTCAGAATATGCAATTGCTTCAGAAATATTTATACAGAAAATGCACATTTTTGTTTAAATCAATGTGTGCACACGAGCATCTGCTCATGCAGGAAAGTCGCACAAGATGCTCAAGGCTACAGGGGTTATGTAGGTCACGGCGAATCCTCCTTCTCACTGAATCGCACCATACATAATTCAAGTCCTGTAGTGGGGGCAGGGGTCCTGGGGTTGGACTCGGCTTGGAGTTTGGGGTTTAGGGAGTATCAGGAGGAGGGGCGGACGGCTGCTTTTAATAATAGATGGGATCACAAAGGAGAGATGACTGATGGAAGCAGCGAAGAAAGGGAAGAGGTGGATCTGCAGCCACCCACATGCACAGAAACAGGGGTTTGGAACGAACACACACGCACACGCGCACGCGCACGCGCACACGCACACACACACACACACACACACACACACACACACACACGATGTGCAAAAGAGGGGAAAAAAAGGAACACAATTAAAAACACAGAGGAGAGACTTCTCAGTGTTGGCTCCTTCACCATCCGTTTCCTCCCAGGTCACAAAGCATGATCTCCTGGTGAAGGATCCCAGATGTGACAGCGTTTTGGCTTGCTCTGGAGCCCCGTGACCGTTAGGATAAACCTCAACAGGGTTTGTGTCTAAGTAGTATCAAAACAATGACTATCTCAGGGGGCTTGTCAGGGCCTCAAACCATTAGATTTCGATTTAACCTTGTCCAGAGCTCAGTGGGGAGGACAGAGAAACATGAAATCAGGAAATTCCTTGAACCTCTGCTGACATGCAGGAATTAGATGGTAAGGGTTGGACAAAAAGAAAGTTAAAGGCTAAACGTAACAGGTCAGGGACGCTTGATGCCTTTATATCACAAGTATGACCACAAAGATCCAATTTGTAAGTGCATTTGTTCAAATAAATATTGATATAACTTTATTTAAACTGCTTTCTTATGTAATTTAACCAGTAATTTTACCCAAAGAACAGCATAAGCTGCACCCTGCAGACAGAAACAAACGCTCGCAGAGCTGAGGACGCTTCAGGCTGGTAAAAACTGCTTTTATAGAACAACAAAGTGATGAAGTTCCAGCCAGATCTCGTCCAGGGCAGAGACCATGACTGGTGGGATGACTGTACCAGCTGCATTTACATATGGAGCCAATAAGACCATATCTGCTGCAGCGTTCGAGGTCACCTCTCGGTCAGACTCCGGGGGGTCAGAAGGTTGCGGATTAAGTTCAAGCTTCTTTTTTTTCCCCCTGTTTAAACACTGGTATCGGTTTTATAAGTGTGTGTTGTAACCCTTTTTCTCCACTTTGTTACAGTGAGATAGTGTTTGTGCTTTTATTATTTTATTCTGCAGAACATTTTCCAAAGTACATTCAATGTTTTACATAAAGGGACACTTATAACTTCAGAAAAAACAGCAAGATTAGCAAATTCATTATTTTTAACAAAAATGTGTTAAATTTGTTTAATTTTTGTTGTTTAGTTGTTATTTACGTTTCTCATCTGGGATTATTTTTTTATGTGAAAGTTTGAAGCTTTACAAAATTATTATTATCAGCTGTGACTAAAATAATTTTTTTAAACACACTTGTAAAACATCAGAAATCTATTAAATAAAATAAAATATGACTAAATTAACAAGCTGCCAGGTTGACCTTTATTTACTTTGCTTTTTAGTTAAGTAATTTACAACATGTTTTTTTTTTTTTTTTTTTTTTACTTTATCTTTTTCTACATATTTAAACGCAAAAGAATTCCCTCAAATTCTACGACGTCTCAGGTTCAGGTAAAGTTATTTAAGAAACCCTCTAACTAAGAACCCCGTTGACTCCAATAAACCAATTAACAGAATTAACTTTTGCCACAGAAATTTAGCTTAGCCGCCTGCTAATTCCGCCGTTTCTGTCTGAGCCGCAACGAGAGTCTTCCCAGTGAAGAAAAGTGTTTTTATTGGAAATTAGAACTTCCTGTCATGAGTCACACCTTAGGAAAATGGTTCAAATATTCAGCCAAAGCAAATTCTCATCTGTAGCTAAGCTGCATTTGAACAGATTAAACAGCACAAAGTCATACAAATGTCCGAGGTTCGGAGCGCCAGAGCAGAGCAGCTAGCTTACCTTTACTTTGACTTTTCTGTGTGAATATTTTCAGTAGAACCAGAACTAAAAAGGTAAACTTGAGTAAAATTTAAATAAATGTGTTCTAAAGTGATTCGAATGAAATGGGATTTTTTTCATGTGACAAAATTTAGTTTTTTTATAGGATTTTTGTTGTAATTTGTAAAAAAGAAAATGTTTGAAGTAAATAAAAAAACTGTATAACTGAAAACTGGTATTTACATTCCTAAATATTTCTGTAAGTTAAATATTTATTGCTGAAGTCACTGAGAATTTGCCCAGAGAAATAATAACAAGCTGCTCTTTTTTATAAGACAAGTTATTTCTTTGCTTTTCTGTTAATAATTAATCCCCCCAGAAGTGACAGACCAATGATTTATAATTAAAACTAAAATATATTTAAAACATAAATAAATAAATAAATAAATAAAAAAGGCTACGCTCAGTTTGAACGACTGGGCATTTCTGAGTTGATTATTTGCTTTTTCACAGAAGAAAATTTGCCCTCGCTCCTGATTTCAGCCGTTTTGTTTCTCCAGACTCACCGGACGTGAAGAGCACGATGGACTTGAGGCAGGAATACTCGGCGGTGTCGACCTGCAGAGCCTTCAGCTTCTCCACCTGCTCCTGGAAGACCCGGATGTGGTCCATGAAGGCCACAACGCGCTCTGCAGACATGGGCGAGGCGTGCAGGCCGGCGGCCGCCAGGAGAGGTGCCACATGAAGAGGCATGGAGCACTGGGCGGCGTTCAGGACAAAGAGCTCGCTCCACGACATTCGCAGCAGGGCCACCTAGAAAATAAACACAAAGAATTTTTACTGCAGCCAAGGATGGTCAAACTCTTCCAGTTTTATCCATTTGCTTTTGTTTTATTGTTGTAATAAAGAATCTACTTAAAGTTAACATCTTTAATTGTCTTCCAACACTAAACTTTATCCGTAGTTTCATTAAACCAGATCGAAGTAAAGATTTAAGGATCTGATCTATATCCAGCCCACTGGCGCTAAAAATAGAACAACCAAAATATTATTTCATCACAACAAACCATAGAATAAAAAAAGTATTTCATTCATTCATAGATACCTAAATAATTTGTAACATAAAGAAATCATGTTAAAATCCCAGCTTTATTTTTATTTTATTCACACATGAACTTGGGAATTAAATCTAAGCCACTTCTATATGTCGAATATGAATCTCAACTAAGTACAAACGTCCATTCAGTGTTTGTTTTAGGTCAAACGTTAGCTGAAAAGCCTGATTCAGCTCTTACGTGTTTGTACTCTTGTTGTTTCTTAAACCCAAAGATGCTCACAGGTTTTATAAAGGGCAGTAAACCAAAAAGTAACGTAAAATCCAGAAGATATTTCCGGCTGATGGTTGACTACTTTTATTACAGTCGGCTACAAGCATCAGTTCTTAAGATGAACCTGAAATTAATTCTGGACTAGAATAATTATAAGGTCCTGTGTTTTTCAAGATGACGGAAGTTCCGATTCTTCCGTTAGCGCCACCAAGACACTTCTGGGTCATTTCATTAAATTTAGAGAACTTTTAACGCTGCACAACTCAGTACTAAAATCTCACTGAATCATTTATTAAACTTTACTAAATTAAAAAAATTAATTAATAAATAAATAAACTATATAATGTTATTCATTTACTTTATCTTATATTATACTATACACCTTATTAACTTAAATAAGTAGATGATACATTTTAATAAAGAGCTTTAGTCATTTGTTATTGTCGTGAGAGTTTTAGGGTTTACACTTAATAATTCAGGTGTCATTTTTGCATGCGGGACTCAAACTCGGTTCTTTCAGAGTCACTTTCCTGCAACTTTGGTATGTTTCTAAGTTTTATCACCCTGTTGAGTTCTGCACAACCATCCATCCATCCATTTTCATCTGCTTATCCGGAGTCAGGTCGCGGGGGCGGTAGCCTAAGGCGAGAGGCCCAGACTTCTCTCTCCCCAGCCACTAGGGCCAGCTCCTCTGGGGGAATCCCAAGGCGTTCCCTGGCCCGGTGAGAGACATAGTCCCTCCACCGTGTCCTGGGTCCACATTTAGGTCTCCTCCCGGTTGGACGTGCCCGGAAAACCTCACCAGGGAGGCGTCCAGGAGGCATCCTGACCAGATGCCCGAGCCACCTCAACTGGCTCCTCTCGATGTGGAGGAGCAGCGGGTCTACTCCGAGCACCTCCCGAATGACCAAGCTTCTCACCCTATCTCTAAGGGAGAGCCCAGCCACTCTTCGGAGAAAACTCATTTCGGTCTCTTGTATCCGTGATCTCGTTCTTTCGGTCACTACCCAAAGCTCATGACCATAGGTGAGGGTAGGAACGTGGATCGACCGGTAAATCGAGAGCTTCGCCTTCTGACTCAGCTCTCTCTTCACCACGACAGACCGGTACAACGCCCACATTACTGTAGATGCAGCACCAATTCGCCTATCGATCTCATGCTCCAGTTTTCCCTCACTTGTGAACAAGACCCTGAGATACTTAAGCTCCTCCATTTGGGGCAGGACCTCATCCCTGACCTGGAGAAGGCATTCTACCATTTTCCGAATCTAGACCATGGTCTCAGATTTAGAGGAGCTGATTCTCATCCCAGCTGCTTCACACTCAGCTGCGAACCGCTCCAGCGAAAGCTGAAGATCACGTTCTGATGGAGCCAAAAGGACCACATCATCTGCAAAAGGCAGAGACCTGATCTTCAGGCCAACAAAACGGATGCCCTCCACACCTTGGCTGCGCCTAGAAATCCTGTCCATAAAGGTGATGAACAGAATCGGTGACAAAGGGCAGCCTTATCCGAGTCCAACTCTCATTGGGAACGAACCTGACTTACTGCCGGCAATGCGAACCAAGCACTGATACCAGTCATACCTAACAGCCCGTATCAGAGGGCCTGGTACCCCATACTCCCGGAGTACCGGGACAAGGTCAAACCCCTTCTCCAAATCCACAAAACACATGTAGACTGGTTGGGCAAATTCCCACGCACCCTCCAGGATCCCCCTAAGGGTATAGAGCTGGTCCAGTGTTCCACGGCCAGGATGAAAACCACGTTGCTCCTCCTGAATTTGAGGTTCAGCAATCCGACGAACCCTCCTCTCCAGAACCCCTGAATAGACCTTACCAGGAAGGCTCAGGAGTGTGATCCCCCTGAAGTTGGAACACACCCTGCGGTCCCCCTTTTTAAATAAGGGAACCACCACCCCGGTCTGCCAGTCCAGTGGGACTCCCCCCGATGTCCACGCGATATTGCAGAGCTACGTCAGCCAACACAGCCCCACAGCATCCAAAGACTTAAGGAACTCCGGGCGGATCTCATCCACCCCCGGAGCCTTGCCACAGAGGAGCTTTTTAACCACCTCAGTGACCTCAGCACCAGAGATTTGAGAGGCCAACCCAAAGTTCCCAGATTCTGCTTCCTCATTGGAAGATGTGTCGGTGGGATTGAGGAGGTCTTCAAAGTATTCTGCCCACCGATCCACAACGTCCTGAGTAGAGGTCAGCAGCACACGTCCCCAATATAGATAGTGTTGGTAGTGCACTGCTTTCCCCCGAGGCTCCGGATGGTGGACCAGAATCTCCTTGAAGCCGTACAGAAGTCTTGCTCCATGGTCTCACCGAAGTCCTCCCATGCCCGGGTTTTTTCCTGGCGACCACCCGAGCCGCGTTCCGCTTGGACTGTTGGTACCCGTCAGCTGCTTCTGGAGTCCCACAGGCCAAAAAGACCTGATAGGACTCTTTCCTCAGCTTGACAGCATCTCTAACCGCCGGTGTCCACCAGCAGGTTCGGGGGTTGACACCACGACAGGCACCGATTATCCTGCGACCACAGCTCCAGTCGGCCGCCTCAACAATGGAGGCACGGAAAAGGGTCCATTCAGACTCAATATCCCCAGCCTCCCCCGGAGCATTTTGGAAGTTCGGTTGGAGGAGAGAATTGAAGCTCCTTCTGACAGGAGACTCTGCCAGACATTCCCAGCAGACCCTCGCGATACGTTTGGGCCTGGTCTGACCGGCATCCTCCCCCACCGTCTGAGCCAACTCACCACCAGGTAGTGGTCAGTTGACAGCTCCGCCCCTCTCTTCACCCGAGTGTCCAAGACATGCGGCCGCAGGTCAGATGAAACAACAAAGTCGATCATTGAGCTGCGGCCTAAGGTCTCCTGGTGCCAAGAGCACATATGGACACCTTTACTTCTGAACATGGTGTTCATTATGGACAATCCATGACTGGCACAGAAGTCCAATAATAAAACACCACTCAAATTCAGATCAGGGGGGCCGTTCCTCCCAACCACACCTCTCCAGGTCTCACTGTCGTTGACCATGTGAACGTTAAAAGTCCCCCAGCTGAACGAGGGAGTCACCGGAAGGAGCGCTCTCCAGCACCCCCTCCAAGGTCTCCAAAAATGTGCATAAGCACAGACCACAGTCAGAACCCGTCCCCCCAACACGTAGGAGGAGGGAGGCTACCTTCTCGTTCACCGGGGTAAACTCCAACATACAGGCACCAAGATGGGGGGCAACTTGAGTTCTGCACAAGTATATATATATATATATATATATATATATATATATATATATATATATATATATATATATATAATCATGCACAAACGAACACTCAAGACCTTTTAACCGACAACCAGTCGATTTTGTTTTCAAACTCTACATGTCTGACAGAAGTGAACACACGTTTCTGTATTTAAACTTGAGCCATAGTCAGTTATGAGCTCCTTGTGGAAGAAGCTGATCATTTTAAACCAGCCTAACCTAAAAAGTGACTTAACGGTAAGAATACAACAAAAACCTGAACTCTGTTTGGGTTTAGGACTCTGATGGTCTGATGCTGCTGCAGCTGTGATGAAAGCATCTAAATATTTCTAGTCTGAGTAGATTCTCTGTGCCAAGACTTCACTCGGGCGTAAATCTACAATAGGATCGATGTGGGCTCCGAACGTTGTTTCTGCCAAACACAATTCTTCTTATAAGCCGCTGCATGTCAGTTTACACAGACATGAAGATAAACATTAGCTTTTTTTATTCATTTATTTGCTCTTTTCTTTTTTAAAGTGTTGGTTAAAGTTATTCTTCATTTATTTTTTTATTCTCAACAACTAAAAATGCAAACAAAAAGAACAGCTTGAGCTCTTTTGTTTGTTTTCGATCAAAGTGTCCAACTCACCTGATCCATGAGCTGCAGGTCAGGGAAGAAGGGGATGTTCTTGGCCCACTCCACAGCGCTGAACAGCAGGCGGGCAGCTAGCTCGCAGATGTTCTCAATGCCCATCAGGTTGTTCCCCTGCATGCATTGCGCCCCATAGCGAGAAGTGGGGTAGGGCTCGGCGCGCAGCAGGAGGGAGATGAAGCCGGACAGGTAGGGCTGGCTGTTGTACGGGTCGGTGCCGTTGGTCAGGTACTGACCTGGGCTGCTCTGGGAGTTGGACGTGCGTCCTCGCTGAACAGCTGTTGAAAAGCACAGCTGAGCTTTAGATTTCTGTTTCTGTGTTCAGTCCAACTTTGAGTAGCTCAAACAGCATCTGTATTAAACTTTCATTAGTTTACAGTAATGGTGGTTTTTCTGAGGGCCTACATGGGAGAAAGAGGAGTCCTATGAGCCTGTTTGGAACGAGAGACGAGAGAAAAGAAAGAAGCAAATTGGGCATGGAAAATGTGTGGGATGGTGGGCTCCAGAAGAGGGTGGAAGGAGCGAAAATGCCACATTTTTCTGACTCTTAAATGTGTCAGTGCCAGTCTCCTCAGCAGAGCACAGTTTGAAGTCCAGGCCAAGACCATCCTCCACCGCTGCTGAGCATCAATGAGTAATGACAAGCAGCAGCTGTTAAAGATATAACACTTCTTCACACCTACACATGTTACACACCCACACATGAATACATGTAACATCCCCCCACCCGCTCTGTGTATCGGCAAAAGGCTCAGCCCGAAGCGAAAAGGGCACACAGAGGCCAAGCTCTCCGACAAACACATGTCCCAACCTTCCACTCCCCCCCCCCCCCCCCTCCACCCCCCACGCGGGTGTGGAGTGATGATGATGCGGCGAGTGCTCAAAGGCCCATTTGAAAAACACCTGTTCAGCCATCGCCACTGTCTGACTAATAACTCCATCTACTGTTACAGAGCAAGTGTGTGAAAGGCAAAAAAGGGGGCTGTGTGTGAGGGAAAAGGTTGAGCGGGTGAGATAAGGCGTAAAAGTGGGAAGGTGATAAGTTGAGAACTGCAGGAAGATAAAAAAAATTGGTGAAAAATGTTTTAATATGATCTGAGAAAATGCTCGGCTAAGAGTTTCCAGAGAGAGACAGGTGAAGAGGCTGGGGGGGGGGGGGGGGGATAGACAAGAGGGGTGGGGATGCTTTTCATCTATCACCTGTGGACTCTCACACAGCAGCTGTAGCAATCAAACGCACCATCTGAAGATCGAGGGGTCAAACGACTCTCGAGTGTTATAAAAATGTCTTTAATTCTGGCCTGAAATAAATAGCTCCACACAAAAGGTGTTGACCTCAGAGCTCCAGCTTCCCCCGTGAACTCATCAACCCGTGTTCCCCGAGAAGAATGCCGTCTCCTTCGGCAAACAGGGCCGAGCGGCAAAGCTGGGAGGTGGTGTTGTCTGTCACAAAGACCATGTTGCTCAACAGACATTCCTCGTCACTCCGGCAGCTCCACGTTTGCTAAAGACGGCTGTCAGATCGGCCACACAGCCCTCCATTTTTCCAGAATTACGCAAAGAGTTTCAAAATAAAAACAACTTTAAGTGTCTTCAAAGAGAAGGTGCAGCAACTTCAGGTGATTGAAGACATTTTTACTCACTTGACTGTCTGGTTTGGGCTGAAACACACACACACACATGACTTAACATCAGAAGACGTTTAGGTTGGGATTTTTCATAAAAGTGACGTAAAGATTAGAAAAGGCAAATGTTTTAACTCAGGGATCTTCAACGTTTTTACTCCGATGTTCGCCTGCAGAGTGGAGTATTTCAAAAGGGAAGTTTGTTGGGTGTTGCTATCTCTTTGGTACGTGTGGTCGTGTACGTCAGCATATAAGCCACAAAAGGCGATTTGTAGCACGAGACAGCGCGGAGCCAAATCGTGATGTTTTTCTAACCTAAATAAATTAGATTTTAATCCCTAAACACGTCGTTTTAAAGCCCAAGTCTGCCGGTTTCTAAGAGGCAAAAACGAACTAAAATCCACACAAAAGCAATGATAAAAGCCTGCTCAAAACCATCGGTGAGTTTGGATAAATCGGTGCGAAAATAGAAAGTTTCACCTTTTAAATCTGGAAAACAATTGACTTCTTTCAAGAGAGTTTGACTAAATAAGTTGTTTTATGTTTATGATGTCATTTCCGAGTCTGAACAAACACAAAGGACATTTTTCACAAACACCCCAGAAAAACAAAGTTTTGGAGCCTTTTTTTTATTTGAGGATTGTTGTCACAGCTAGAAGAAAGTAAACGAAAGAGCATTGCTCCAAGAGGAATTTTACCACAGAAAAATCCACATCCTGCTGATTTAGGAAGCGTCGGACTTCATAAGTCAAAGGAAAAAGAAGCTTTAACATTAAAATAATGGAAACAAGTATAAATGTTTTAGTTTAGGGTGGTGAACGGTCTGATCTTTGCTGTCCTTGAAGCCATGTAATGAGGACATTGTCTTGCGACTGGTGCATCGTCTCTGAAGGACACCTTGACCATGTCTCCGAGCAGCCGGGAGCGGAGGCAGCATCTCCCGCCCCGGGAACGGGAACTTCGAACGTCGTCACTCTGACTCGGGCTAAATTCCTCACTCCGCTAGAGGGCACCGTCAAGCGAGCATGAGCAGGCTCTGAAGGGATGTTTGGAAGGATTTGTTCAGGGCACTTCCTCAGGAAGACGAGCTTTAAAAGCCTTGGCTGTGCTTTAAGAAATCAGAGTGCTTCTGGTACCTACAACCATTCCAACAATATCATCAGATGGATCAGAACCTGCCCGTTAGGTCCTGCTGGGTCTGGGCGGTCATTTCAGAGCAGTTAATCTGCTCTAATATCAATTAGTGATTAATTCTGCAGATGGCTGTGAATCTACTTGACCCACTTGACTTTTCAAAAGCCTCATTGTGGGGGTCACTCACGAGCAAGCAAGCCAGAGAGAGGCAGAGCACTTGAGTGAAACACATTGCCATCTGTTTTTCTTCGCCTACAGAGATAAAGAGTAGATGGAAAAGGAGCAACAGGGGTGAAGGTGGGAAGGATTAAAGGAGCAGGGAGGAGAGGTGTGGTATCAGGGAAGAGAGCAGGAGAGAAGGGAACGACATGGAAGCAGACGCTTGTGGATAGTTAGAAAAGGAAGCTGCAGGGATGAAGTAGTAACAAATGTCCACCGATTTACGTTGTAAACCTGGAAAACAACTAGAATCTGCTTCAAAGTGAGCAAAAGGATTCCTAAAACAAGAAGTGTTCCATCTGTTATGACGTGAAGAGAGACTGATAAGATGAAAGTGCATGAAAACCGACGTACCATGGGACGTTTCGGCTGCGGCTCTCAAAACGCCGCTTCAGCAAACGACAGCTGCCTGCCGTCTCTGTGCTAGCCTCGGGTCAGATGGTCGGAGGCATTACAGCAGCTAAATACAATTAAGACCCATCAACATTTGGACTGAAAGGTCACAGCGCCGCAGACGCATTATAGATTCGGCTTATTCTGATAGTTGCATTAAATAAGTAGCTTTTCTATCCCTAAAGCTTCCATTTGTGAGCCGAAAATAAACCCGTTTCTCAGCACGAGCAATCAGATATTGTCTCTGTCTGCATCTAGTGGGAGAACAAAAGGGATTTATTCCATTCTGGGATTAAAAATTATCCAAACATGCAGTTCTGAAGCTGGAAACAGCCTGTTTGTATCAGAAAAATACATTTTGAAGAGTAAAAAGAGTGAAAATCTATGCCTGAGCACATGTGAAGGCACATGTGTGATCCAGCTGAGAGGGTGGTGTGTGATGTGACACCAGGGTGATATCCCCATGGCTCTCATAGTTTTATTTTGGCCCTGAACTTTGACCTGTGGGTCACTGCAGTGAGGTAACGAGAGTCAGACCGCAGCAGAAAGGAGCCAGTGTGTAAAAGAAACAGATGGAGATGATAGCGCAGTGATAATTAGCAAAAAAACAAAGTTTATAATTCATATTTGCTGCTTTTCCTATATTTACTTGACCTTTCGACCACGTTTCAGACCCATTTGTCTGAAACGTGTGTGTTAGCCGTTGCTAAAATGGATTGAACGACACCTCTGGGGTTTATGTTAATGCTGCCAAAGAACAAATTTTATTCCATGCAGATTTTCAAAAAGCCTGCCTGAGTTCAGGGTCAGCTCCATTTACACAACATGAAGCGTTTTGGTTTGTCTCGTGTTTGTTTTTGCAGTAACACTTTCTGCCACCGCAAATTCTTAAAGGCGCAGCTGTAAATGCTAAATGCAGCTGTGCCTTTAAGTCCTTTGTAGTCAGAGATCTCCCTCAGGAGTTAGCAGAATTTAAATTATTACAAACAGAGAAAAAACTGGCATAAAATAAGGAGCACATACATGTAGGAGCTGCTCTGGACAAGGGGTAAACCGATATATCGGTCAGCCGATACATTGGACCGATATTTGACAATTTTTAATATATTGGCATCAGTCGATATACCTCTTTAATAAAGCAGATTTAAAGTCAGGTACATCCCCGGGCAGCCCCGTGCTGCTGCAGAATTTTATTTTAATTTATATAGGTTCCCAAATAACATTTGCTTTATAAAAGTTTAATCTATTTTTTTTTGTTGTTGCCAGTTTTAAATATTTAATTCTTGGTCAGTTTGCTAGTTTGTTTGATTAACGCTAGTTCAATGTCTGATTTCAACACTAAACTGGGCAGAGAAAATGAAGATTTTACTGCTGGCTAACTTCAGAGTTCAAAAACTCATTCAGTTTCAGAAATTTTGTGAATCAAGTGATATTATCTGTGACATTTTAGCATGAAAATGAGATGGAAAACATCTAGATAGACCATGAAAATCAACTATGGGCTGGCCTTTACCTATCATCGGTATCGGCAATAGAAAAAACAATATCGGTCAACCTCTAGTCTGGTTTTTATTAAAGAAAAGGAAGCTCCAGTTGAATCAAATATAGAAAAACCTGAGTTACAGGAGCCGCTAATAAAAAAACAGACCAGCTCCACAACAACATCAACTTTTTAACTTGTCAAATGAATTTTTCAGAGTGTGAAAAATTGATTTTTCTTTTTTTTATCTCGTCATCAGAAGGCGTTTCTCTTTACATTTTCCCCCTCCTGTTTTCCTCCATCTGAAGCTAAATTATTGAAAACAAACCACCTGCGCACCCAAGGACTGTCCCGAGTTATCCGTCAAACATGAAGGAGCAGAGGAACGCAGCGAGAGACGCACCAGAGCGAGAGAGCAGGCGTGCAGAGTGTGACACAGACCCGGAGCGACGGACAAGCTCCCTACCAGGAAGTTTGGAAGCTTGGCTGGAATCTCTGTCCCCAAACTTTAATAAAGCATCTTCTAAAATAGCTAATGCTGCCTACAGCACTGACTTTTCTGAGCCCTCCAAAGGAAGAGTCTGTTGCTGTGAAACGTACTAAAGAATCTCAAAGACTTGTGATACCCTACTTTTCAGCTTTGAGTAAACACTCCTGTGCTTCTTCCCTTGCTGAATATTGTTACAAGTGACCTAACTGATGCAAAAAAACAGGTTGAGCTACTTAAGTCACAACCAAAACAGTCCAAAATCAGTTTTAGAGGGAGTTACTGCAGCTCATCGGGTCACTTTAGCCGTACATCTGAAAGAAAACTCAGAATTCATCAAATGTGTAAGCAGATGAGATCAGAAAGCTGCTTTTGTCATATTTATTTACCTAAATATTGGATCCAGCTCCAGAACTGGAAGATTCTGAGCGTCTACCTTCAATAACGACCGATTAACGGGGTTTCCAGAGCTGAAGCAGCACCAACAGCTGTGTTTTTATAGTGACACACCTTTATCACTACAGTGTTTTTAAGTCAATACACACTGTTAGACTCGAGTGCTCCGGTGGAGTATTTACACACCCGAGAGGCCCCCAAACAGTTCACACGTTTGGACTTTGACTGCAGCCTGTCGGTTATTAACGTTGGAGTTGACCTACATTCGGCTCTGCTGTAGGATTTAGTCAGAGTGCATTATGGGTCAGAAGAGTCACAGCTCCCTGCACTATGGATGTTGAGTCTGCTTATTATCACTACACTCTAATAATTCCACAAACCGAGTGTGTTCATCAACACACACACAAACACACACACAGCAGTATGACCTTATCATGGTGCATGAATTCATCCAGCGTGCTGTCGCTTCCCCGTGCTGCTCCATCTTCAGAGACTCGTCCTTGTAAAATTAAAACATTTCCTCCCTCAGTTCAAAGGAACTGTCATGTCGATTCTCTTTGCCTCTCTGCTTACGAGTCAGCTGGCAAACGGCGCCGACGTGGAAGCAACTGGAGGTTGGATGTAGCTGCCCACTGGAACAATGACACCATCGCTGCCAACATTTAAGAGCTTTGACTCCTCTTGAAACCTGCGCTGAAATGTTTGCCGACTTGCTGCTGAGAGCTTCTCTGGATAGAAGTTTCCAACAAATGATATTATGTTCAACGCAGCGGGCTGCAGAAAGAGGTCAAACGTCCCCTTTGGGAAGGAGTAAAAAAGAAAACACTTGAAAGAAAGAAACGTATAAATCTGTCACTCATGATGCCTTCTAAAGCAGCCAAGTATTAATTTCCTCTGAGCAGAAATAGGATGTTTCTGCAAACATCTGTGAATGAAACAAACTCTCTGTTCTTCATACGGATCATTCAGATTTTTAAAACTTTGGATTATTTAAATGCAGATTTAAATGAAATCCTCACTGAGCTTAAATGCTGCATCCCATTGACATCCTTAACTGACCCTGCTGAATAATAAACAGAAAACATGACTTATGGATGACCCCTGGGAGCTTTAACTGTCCTGCCACTTGTTGAAAACTGAAAAATCCAAAAAATGTGTCTAATAAATCATTATTTATGTCAGATTTTGCTTCAACTATCCACAAAAATGAATATAATTTATTAACAGGATGTCTAATAAAAATCCTTCAGGGAATATGTTTGATTCCACACCATGACGATTATCCGACTTTTGCTTAACTGGTCCAACACAAATCACAAAACAACCCACCAATCAGATGACACAATTAAGAGTCAAACGAACCAGATTTTGATCCGAATCTTTAAAAAAATGCAGCAACGTTTTACTTCTGCGTTCAAAATAAAGTTTCGGGACATGATGCAACTTTTCTTAGAGCATGTTCAGGATTTAGAAAAATGTCTCCTGCACTTATAAATTAAAATAAGTCCTTCTTGTGGTTGAAATCTTTGAACTCATTCCTTTACGCAGACTAAAGCAGAACGGTGATCTGTTGGGTTTATTTTTAACGCGCTGCAGCGCATCAGGCGATCTCCTCGGGTTCATTCAGTCGGAAAGGAGCATGACCGACTCGGAGTGGCTCGCGGGTTTCTTTACGTGGCGGTGTGTAAACACACACACACACACACACACACACACACACACACACACACACACACACACACACACACACACACACGGAGTAAGCTGACTCGCAGAGGCCCTTGAGGAATCCGAGGGCGGGTATTCCCACCGATGTTATTTACATTTTTGCTTTGATAAAGAACAAAGGGCAGCGGGTCGGTGTGCTGCACGGACGCTATCTGTCCCTCATCATCCACTGCCCAAGTGTCCTTGAGCAGCACTGGCTGCCGTTGACCCTATTCTGTCCTCTGACAGAGAACTGAACGGGACTAAGTGTGACATCTTGATTAAACACGCAGAGCGTTGATCAGTCAGAAGTGGATGAAACGAGTCGCTCTGCGCAAAAGCGCGCAGATCTTTTCGCCACAAGGTTCTGGTGTTCTCGCGTGTTCTTCTGCTTCATCCTAAATAGTCCTCCTGGATCCAACATCTATTTAACCCGGATTTAAGAGATTCTACTAAAGAAACGCGCAAACAGGCGCCAGCTGAGCCAACCGCTGGCAATTAGCAGATCAGTTTTGCCTCATTTTGGTCTCACGGTTTAAATACGCGCCAGCTCGCACCTCTTGGACCGGGTGTCGCTGCTAAGTGATAATTAATACGGGGAAGTGCTCCTCTTCCAACACGTTTCCTCTGAACCTTTTTGGCATGAACTGACCCGTTCTTAATCCAACACAATTGCAACAAATGTAGCGGCATCCTCTTATAGGCTCGGGGTGTCGGCAAACCAACAGCATCATTAAAGCGGAGAGACAAAGAGAGGATTCCACAGGAATGGATGCTTCGGATTTGGTAAATGAATGTGGAATAAGCAGTTTAGTGCCGCAGGTGGTGACTGATTATTCTCCCTGAGAGCCAGCTGGATGTAAACGGCCATCTTAAAGAACTTTACGCACAAGTGGCTCTGCTCCAAACTGACCTCATAAGAGCATCATATCAGGGGTTTTGTTGGGAAAAGATGAACGATGTGATGAGGACTGGTGCCAAAAATAGATGCTCCTGGATGTATAAATGAGGTTGTTCTGCTATAGGCTTTAGAAACTTAGCAATGTAAAAATAAAAATTTCAACGAGGATATGTCACACACACATTTATTATACAGCTGACTCAAAGACCTACCGTTGACGTGGATTTTTTTTAGCGTTACGCGCGTTTTTACGTACAAATCTGGTCAATTGGGCCACGTTTAACTGTCATCCATCAGTTTCCCACAGCGGCTTACCTTCTCTCCTCATGCCGACTTTTAGACACTTCTTCAACCGGCAGTACTGACACTGGTTACGGTGGTGCTGGTCGATGGGACAGTCTCGGTTCCCCCGGCAGGTGTACGTGAGGTTCCGCCGCACCGAGCGCTTAAAGAAGCTTTTGCATCCTTCGCAGGTGAACTGGCCGTAATGCTTCCCACTGGACTTGTCCCCACACACCATGCAGTCCACGTTGGGGATCTTGTCCCCGGAAAGAGCGTCGTTACCCGGGGTGGAACCGTTGGGAGTCCCCGGTCCCCCACCGGGCTCCTGGCCACACATCTGGAGCTGTGACCCCGGATCAGCAGAAATGTTCTCCGGCCACTGGCTTACTACCATTGCCATGCTATCCCCAAACACTTGATCTTTGTTAAAATCACGGAAAAGGTCAGCGTGCGCGTTAGAGATCCGTCCTGATGTCTTGAAAATGTGAAATGAGGGAGGACAAAAAGGCTTTTCCCACCTTCCTCAGAGATCAGTCCGAGCTTATGTGAGCGTCAGAACGTCAGTCTGATGATGTTACTAAATACTTCGTTCAAACATCAAAGTTTACAGCAGCAGGAGGAGCAGCAGCAGCAGCGGGGCATCAACATGATAAATGAGCCACAGCAGAGCTTACAACTCCCGGTGTCCCTGGCTGCGCAACGATCCATAAACACGCTGCATGTTCTTCAGACTGCAACCTCTCTGGAAACTCCGCGTCTGGCTCTCAGGATCAAAAACGAGCTGATTCTGTTTCCTGAATTGGAAACAATCATTTAAAAAGCCTCAAACAGCTCTAAGACAACTACCCCGCCTCTGACACTCTTCTTCAGTCACGCGCTCGCTAGTGCGTTCTGAGTTTTCTCCCGTTTTAAACCAGATTTATGCTGATTTAAAAACTGACCACATGTTGGTTGCAACCAGTGAGTCGTTTTGTCCCAGCTGCACAAGGCGCACGTCCTGAGGATTGGGCAACCCCGGTTCCTCTCGGTGAGAATGTGGAGACTGACGTCAACGGGCGCGCTGGAGTTATTTACCAACCGCGCAACAGAAGTTTCCTCTGCGCTTAGATAAGAGTCCGTGGGAGAGACTGTGAGCAGAAACGGTGCGAACAACCCCTATCTCTCGAGTATCGCTTCGTCCTCCGACTGGTTGTCTTGTCTTTGAGAGTCAAAGCTCCGGTTTGGGGAAAGTGTCAGCGGCAGGACAGCTCGCCTGGGTGCCCTCCCCCGGCGGCTCTCCATATAAGGCAATGCATGCCAAATAAGGCTGCATCTCCTCCCCTTGGAGCCAGAAACGGGACACGAGGGACCGGCTGTGATTGGTCTCAAAAGTCTTGTTGGAGGCGCAAGCAGCTCTCTGATTGGACCGTGGTCGATTAGGATTGATTTGAGTGACAGGAGCGGGTTTAAGTTGAGGTCTAATTGAAAATAACGCGTTGGGCATCTTGTTGAGATGCCTTCATGAGTTCAGCACTTACGCCAGTTGCTCATTCCCAACATATTCAGTTAAATTTACGTAAACCACACAGCAGATTATGTTTTTGGACGTATGGACCCCAGGTTAAGCTTTCTAACTTTTAATGAAAAATGTTGTTTGTTTTACTGTTTAAATGCGCCATTTTACGCAGCGCAATTTTACGCAGTCTGCTTTGATTTTTAAATCTTTGTTTATATGGTTCGGATTTTTAAAATGATAAAAAGCTAATTTACATTAAAAACTTAGAATAACACGTAAAAAAGTATTTGAGTGACAAAAACCGCGGATATGTGCATCTTGTGTGCGCCAATGCTTAAATGCGTTCTTGTAAAAACCATGTTTTGCTTATGTTAGATTTGCACAAAACTGACTTGCTGTTTATTCTCAAACTATGTGTCCAGGGTTAACCGATAGTAAAAATAAACTTTTAAAGGTTTATAATTTAAAATGCCTCAAAACCAGCAGCAACTGCTTAAAAAACAGCAGGGAGAGGAAACATGTTGTGTTTTTCTTCCTTTAACTGGCTTCTGGCGCACATGCGGTTCTGCGGTAATTAACGGCGACACGTGTTCTAATGGGGGGTTTAACACCGAGAGCTGCGGGACCTGATTATTTTTCCCAGAAAGTGTCTTGATTTGTTATTTGAGGGTGATTCCTGTAACCCTGCTGCCCCGTAAGCCTGGATCATGTGTCCAGTGACGTGCATGAACCTCCTCTCCATGTATTTATCTTAATGTAAAAATAGAAAAATCACATTAAAAAGATTTGGGGGGTAATGCAAAGAAAACAAAAAATGGCTGTTGGGGGAAAATCCAATCAAATTAAAGAAGAAACTTTAGTTTTCAGCAGTTAAAGGACCAAACTCTGAGTGGAACGGTTCTAGCCCGGGGCCAAAGTTGGCCCTGCGCTGGGACTAATTGCTGTCACATGTAACCTTACCTGTCCCCAATTAGCCCTGCCTTCGCCCTGTTTGGAGACGTTGGGAGCTGTGGTCCCAGTGACCAAGGGCACCTCGGGCACTGGGGCCTAATAATTAGAGTGTAATTTAATACAGCCGAGGCTTATGATCAATTTGACCAGGAGTTCACCCAAAAGAGGCTAATTAAAGGAGGATCAGCCTTATGCCTGCAAATCAAGACAACTCCAGTCCACTCAGACTCCTCCATGACGTTGTTACTTCCGAAAACACAAACTTTAAGTCATTTAGTCGATTTAAAGACATACTTCACTCAAACATGAAGTTTCCTATTGATACAATGAGAAATAAGGAATGACAAATCAATTTTTACAAGTTCATGCTGTTGCTTAATTTATGGTCAGTTTGTTTTCTCTATGAAACACTTTGTTTTATTAATTTTTTTGTGAAATCTTCTAAAATTGTATCCATAATGTATTTTTACTGATGCTGGCTGTTTAAATCATAAATTAAAAGGATGCATTTGGTCCAATTTGGTCTTATGTTGTTCTGGTTAGCTGTGCTCACTAACCGCATGCTAGCACTCGCAACTTCTGCTTCATCCTCCATCGGGCTGCAGGAGGACACAGCAGAGGTAACATGCCTCAACACCAAGCAGAAGAATCAGGACCATAAATTCTTCATCTAATCTGGAGATGATGACTCCCTTCATCCAAACAGCAGTGTTTGATCCTGGTAAACATCTACATGAGCTTCACAAATTTGCTGAATAGTTTGTGAAAAAAGAGCAGGTTCACTGAGAAACTATGTTTTACTTATTATTTTTGAAAATGATCGGTCACTCTGAGTTTGTCATGCAGGCTGAACATGAAAATAGTACCCTGCCTATTTCCTGCATTAGCTTCTGATGGATAATATGGAAATATGCTCGGTTCAGAAAAGCCTGACAGATCTACATCACACCATCACTTATACATGGACTCAACCATCCTGACTCACGAGAAACGCTGTTGTTGGTTTGGCATCCAGGAAACAGCGGAGAACGTCTCGGCTAGTAGATGCTAACCAGTAGCGGTTTTAGGCACGGGCAGACAGGGCAGTTGCCCGGGGCGGCATTTTTTCATGACACAAAAGGGGCGCACAAGCGCTGAGTAAAAAAATAAAAAATAAAAATATGTGCCTCACCAAGGTTTTCTATTCTATCTGTCATATCACAGTGTCTGGATTGGAAACAGCAAGTTGGCGCCCCCTGCAGCTGCAGGCGCTCCTGCTGACTGAGAGGTTCAGGTGCACCGTGTGTGTATGAAGAAGAGGAAGGGGAGGGGCGCGGCCGGGGAATTCACCTCTGGGTCTTTCCCAAATGAAATGAGCGAGTAGGGGCCAGGGCCAGATTAACACTTTGTTGTACCCTGGGCAACAATATTCAAGGGCTCCATCATCACGACCCAAGGATCACCATAAAATGGTCACATACAGAATATTTTACTGTAACATGCAGTAAATATATTCAATACTTGAATGCCTGACATCACGTAACCCGCTCAGGGTAACCTTTGACCCACCTGGTGTGGACTGACCAATGAGGAGAGGGTCTTAACTTGAGGCCCTCTCTTCATTGGTCAGTCTGCATGGGGGGGGGGGGGGGGCTGTCATTTTGCCTTGGCCCCCAAAATGTCTTGAAACGGCCCTGGGTGTGTGAATGAGTTTTGAATGTGATCTGAATTGTATCAGATGTATAATTATGACGTGTGTAACTTATTGTTTTATACAGGTAAAAACATGTAGTGGAGATAAATCTACCTACATTTTACTTTTCAAGTCTTTGTTTTGTTTTCTTGTTTTTATTGAACTATTTTCCTGTCCTGTCTGTCTCTCATCTTCCTGCATCTCCTCCAAACTCTCCAGAATAACTGCTGCCTGGATTCTTACTTTTTTACCTCATCATTTACTTTGAGCAGATCAAAGGGATCTCCTGACTGCAAAGCGGAGTGCGCGATTCGATGCTGCGTCAGTGAGGTGAAATCATAGTAGCACTGGTGATGAGCTCCGCAGTAGCAGAGCGCTTCAGGCACAAATGAGACAGAAAGTAGAGAACATGTGCGGACATGTTAATTATGGTTTTTTGGTTGTGCCACTTTGAGAATGGACTGTGCGCTGGACGCAGCAGCCTGGAGTGCTGAACACCAACGATCATCGCTATATGTGCTCTCTGCTCAAAAGAGTCCATAAATGATGTAATATAGGTAGAAAACGTTTTATCCGGCTCCCCTGGATGTGTAGGATATCCAGCTCCCCCATAATTCGATCCCTGCTCCTGGATGAAAAACCAGACATTTTCATCAATACAAGAACCCCCCAGTCCGGACGCCCGGACAGAGAGTGAAAAGTGGACATGTCCGGGGAAAAGAGGATGTATAGTCACCCTAGTTTAATATAAAGCGGGAGACTACAGATACAGTATTTTGCTCGTGCCCTTGCTGCCCTGGGCCCTTTAGAGTTTGTGGGCCCTGGGCAAATGCCCAGTTGCCCATATGGTTAATCCGGCCTTGGTAGGGGCTGAATCAACTGTATTAACATGGCTAAAGTCAATCACATCTTGATGTTCTTCCATTTAATGCACATTTCATTCATAATATCATAAACACAGGCCTATCATTCTTTCAGGTTTTTCTTAATTGTGTGAAATGACGAAATAAAAAAAGGAAAAACAAAACGATTTTGTGATCACCCACCCATCAAGGTCAAATTGTTTAGTCCTGACTGAAGAAAACTTATTGAGTCAAGAGCCAAACAGAAGAGATGGACATAAAAAGGCTAAAACCACCAGGTGCCCGATTCAGGAAAAAAAAAGAAAAAAAAGAGGAGAAAGATAAAGGTATGTACGCTCTCATGATGCATGTTTTCAATTTTTTGAACCAGTTAACTGGGATTTTAACGGTTAAATTCGGTCAACTAATTGCCAACAGAGCTAATAGGGCTGAAATATTGAAACGAATATTCAAATGGTTCGAAAAAATTCCTTGAATCATTTTTTACTGATTCAAACTAGGATTTGTTAAATGCTCGCTGCAGCCTGTGGCCTGCCTGAACAACAACAAACACATGTTGATCATGTTCACACAATAATAAATAAAACAACTCTACAAGCAGAAGAAAACTCCCCAGTCACCACTAACTATCCTGTTTGTTTATTGCAGATGGCCGCTGATTATTTTTTACATGATTTGTTCTGTAAAAGTTGGCATTTTTGGTAGTCTACAGTTTTTTATGTCAGTTTAAATTACAATTTCAGATGTAATTCTTAAATATTATGGATCATGATAAAGATCTATTTGAGATCTACCCCAACCTTTGGACTGCTCTGCCAGTCACTGTGGCTCCAGCTGAGAGGAGCTTTTCAAAACTTGATCAAGTCATACCTGAGGTCAACTATGTTTCAGGGGCGGCTCACTAACCTGGCTCTGATTAGTACCAATCACTCAGTAGGGGAGCAGATTTCATATGATGACATTATTGATGACTCTGCATGAAGGTTAGGTTGTAATTTTAGTTTGTGTTTTCTGTTCTAAGTGCAATGCTGTAGTGATTCTCTTTAGTTTGTTATGTGTGAAATATTTTTGCTATTTAGAATATTTATTATCTATTATGTTCATATATTCTTAATATTTAGTTATAGTTTTTTTTGTATATTTGATTCTATATATTTTGATACAGTATATAATGTATATTGCTTTACATTCTGACAACTTCATAGTAATTAATGTAAATATGTGCAACTTAGAAAAATGAATGTTCAATAGTCATTCT